ACAAGAATACGTGTACAAAATATATATTTTGTATTAATGATTTTGGGGTTACAATCTCTTTGTAATTTGATCCTTTGATTCTATCTTCGTAGGATGTTGGTTTGTGGATGAGTTGTTGATCCAAAGGGCCGTCGGGGCTTGATCTAAGGATGAACAGTTGATGAATGGATCTTCAAGGGGCGTCGGGCTTGATTTTGAAGAATGGGTGTATGAGTTTGTTGAGGTTGTTGATCCAAAAGGCCGTTGAGGCTTGATCTTAGGATGAACGGATGATGAATGATGAACATTTTCTTCAAGGGGCCGTCGGGGCTTGATCTTGAGTTGGTGGAAGTTCTTCAAGGGCCGTTGGGGCTTGATCTTGAAGGTTGATGGATGAGCGGATCTTCAAGGGCTTTTGGGCTTAATCTTGAAGAACGATTGGATGTGTGGATTTGTTGAGGTTGTTGATCCAAAGGGCCGTTGGGGCTTGATCTTAGGATGAACGATGAACACTTTCCTCAAGGGCCGTCGGGGCTTGATCTTGAGTTGGTGGAAGTTCTTCAAGGGCCGTTGGGGCTTGATCTTGAAGGAGGATTTGACGAAGAACGAATAGTGCTTTCTTGATCCTTCGGGATTTGCTTGAGAGCTTTAGAGTTTCAAGGCTTGAAGGTTTTGGTGTAATGTAAATTCCTCCTCCTTTCTTCCTCCTTTCTTTTTTGGAAATGAATGCCTTGGCTTCCTATTTATAGAATTCCAAAACTTGATTTTTGGATTTAAATAATCAGATGAAATAAATCATTTCTGCCAGGTATTGACACGTGTCCTATTTGATGACCTTTCCAATTTATTTCGATTTTTCGTTGAATCACATGCTACATGTAAAATTTATGTGACACGTGAGCGTTGAAATTTTAATTATTGGTCAACATTCATTTCGCCGAAATTTTGATGTCTACAAATGCCCCCACTTCAAGGCGCGTTGTAGACATGTGCTTGTCACGTGTAGAAGATGCGTTTTGAAGTCCCTTAATGTAGATGTCAACCCAAGGGCCGTCGAGGCTTGATCTTGAATTGGGCTGGAAATTTCTTCAAGGGCCATCGAGGCTTGATCTTGAGTTGGGTTGGAAATTTCTTCAAGGGCCATCGAGGCTTGATCTTGAGTTCGACTGGAAGATTTTCTGGTTTCCTCCAATCGTTGATTTTCCGCAGGCTTAATCTTGAACTGGGCTGGAGGATTCTTTTGGTCTCCTCCGAAGGTCTGAACTTACTCCTTTTATCTGGAGTTGAATTTGATTCAAGGGTGGTGAACACTTGATTTTGAATCGGACTTGTGATTTCTTCAAGGGCCATCGAGGCTTGATCTTGAATTGGAAATAAGACCATGAGTGGTTTCAGGATTCAGACACATGGCAGGCAAGCACGAGGTGGAGGTGATAACCTGTTTCTTTGTTCAATCTTTCCAATTCGTATTGAAGAGGGTAGATCGGAAGACTGACTCCAAGTGCCGGCTGATTGCTCTTTTCACTTTGCCATGCAAGTAATAACAAGGACAAAGGAAAGGACATGGAGAAAGCATGATATGAGATACCTTTGCTTTTGAAGAAGCAGCGAATGAATCAGCACATATATTTGTTGTGCTTGTCTCCACATGCTTCGATGTATCATTTTCACTTGCCTTACTTGCTCCCTTTGCAGAAGTGGTATTTCCTTATGCAGGTTTGGCATCTTCTCTTGTAGTATTTGTTCCTGATGCAGGAGTGGAATGCAACCTTTGCATTTAAATGGTGCTTCAAAACATTACTTCTCAGCGACGATGAGTACTCGAGAGCAATGCAAGGTAAGCAACCAGGCAAAGGTTCCAGGCAATCAGTTCCAGGTCGAAAGTTTGATTTCAGGTTCCGACTGATAACTCTATTTCCCCTTGTCTTGCAGGTAAGAGCAAGGGTAAAGGAAAAGACAGGGAAAAAGCATGATATGAGATACCTTTGCTTTCGCCCTTGATGATATGAGATACTTTTGCCTTGGTGTCATTTGTTTGCAAGGGTATTCCCAGAGAGGAAGAAAACTGAGCATTTTGAGATGCTTTGCTGGGAGTGTACTCTCGGAGGTAAGGAAGAGTTGGGCATTTTTTTTTTTTTTTGCAGGTATGCCTTGCCATAAAAGATGAAGGTCGACATATATAGAGATTTCCCAATAGCAAGTGGTAGTGCGGATGCGGCAATGACCTCCACGCGTCTTCAACTTTGTCAGAGATCTTTTGACAAAGTTGCACGCGTTATCTGAAAAGCCGAGATTGCGGCTTTATCACCCACGCTTGTCGGCAACCTCCACGCGTCTTCAACTTTGTCAGAGATCTTTTGACAAAGTTGAACGCTTTATCTGAAAAGCCGCGAGACCTCCACGCGTCTTCAACTTTGTCAGAGATCTTTTGACAAAGTTGAACGCTTTATCTGGAAAGCCGAGATTGTGTCTGAAGAGTTGGCCGTTCTTTACGCAGGAAAATCCGGCTTTGAAGAGTGGTGTCTCTTCAATTCTGAATCGGTGATTGTGTCGCCTCTCCTTTTATAGAGGTGATCGATCATCTCTAACATGCACACTTTGAAGATTGCCCATTCGTGAACATTGTCTCCGGCCCGTTGAGATTTTACTCCATCCAACCCTTCTCTTTTAACTTCTTGAAAAATGGCTAACGCATCTAACCCATCTAACATCTGCTTAGATTTGAGTCTTAGCAGTGATCCAGTCACGCCGCGTCAGGGTAAGGTATGGTGCCCGTCTTTCTTATCTTCTAATGGCCCTCTTACAGGTGAAGATTCTGTGATGACGGATGCAACAACAGCTACGATAGTAGCTCGGAACCTCCTCACTCCTAAAGATAGTCAGCTGCTTTCAGGACGGTCCGATGAGTTGGCCGTTCAAGAATCCCAAGCTCTCAGTGTTCAGTGCGCGGGCTCTGTGTCCAACATGGGCCAACGCCTACTTGCTCGATCCCGTCAGGTTGAATCATTGATGGCAGAGGTGGAAAATCTCAAGCAAGAGATCAAACAGCTTAAGCACGAGAATAGAAGTTTGCACGTACTTGCAAATAATTATTCGACAGGCATGAAGAGGAAGCTTGATGAGATGCTAGAATCTTAAGGTCGAATTCAAAGTGACCGTCAAAGGCTTGCGTCTTTCTTCCAGAGGCACCTTTTTCCTGCGTCATCTAGCGTTCCACCAAGTATTGGGGCCTCGAATGATGTATCTTCGGTGCCTCCTGCTCCTATGCCTCTTGCTCCGATGCCTCCTGCTCCTAGAGTGTTGCCATGTAGTGGGGCTTCACGTAAACAACCTTTGTGAAGGCTCCATCTTTCTCTTTCTTTGTTAGATACATTTTTTTTTTTTTTTTTAATATAATTGCTCTCCGTGCGCCTGGCACCGTGTGAGTTTCAAACTCTACAAAATTACAACTTGTATATAACAAATATGTCCACACATGAATGATGGCCTTCATTACTTTCTTTACTTTTAATTCCACAATCTTGTACACATACACACGCATATAGGCCACTGCATTTGCTCACTGCCTTGCATCTTTCAATTTGCTAATTTAAACAATTGGCAGCTGGTGCTGTCTTTGAAAGATGCTTCCCAACATCATCATTGCTAATTTTTATTTTTTATTTTATTTTTTATTATTCTTTTGAAAGATGCTTCCCAGCATCATCATTGCTACTTTTTTTTTTTTTATTATTCTTTTGAAAGATGCTTCCCCGCATCATCATTTTTTTTTTCTTTATATGGCCATCTGCAAGGCTGAGTTCGTGGGTGAAAACCCAGGCCGAGTCCGAGAGAAGACGGAGGAGGTCTTTGGGTGTGAGTTGACAAACTTTGGTTTTGTTGATCACATTCAAAGGCAGCAGCCATGGCGGAGGTGCAGAAGCAGCCAGATCTTGAGGCAGAGTGTAAGGCGTTGAGTTTGAAGACCGGCTAGTCGTTTGACAGCGGTCAATAAAGCTCTTCGTTGATTTTGATCATGGTGGCCAGAGTGACGAGCTTGAGGTTTGTTGGCAGCGTGAGGAGACAGAGGAAGAAGCTCCACCATCACTCCTCATGCAAAAGTTGACTGCCAAAAAAAATTCGGCATCACCCCTGCAACTTTATAACAGGTACTGACCATCTGCTCCAGTGGAGTTGAATGCTTTTCGCAAGCTTCAGCTTCAACAGGATATGTTGGGAAATAATTTTGAAAGAAAAGAGATGCACTTTTTGAATTCAGAGGCTTTGATTCTTTTCTCTTCGGGCATGAGCCTGGTTTTACCCCAGGATCTCCAGCTTCGTTTTCCACCATGTATTTCCACTAGTAAGCTACTCCTTCCTGTGCTTCCTTTGAAGCATCAGACGTAAAAAAAAAAAGAAGCCGATGATTCTCTTGCACCATTTCAGTAACAGTGGGCCAATCTTCACCCTTTCTTGGCATTTTTCGTTACAGGAAACCAATACTTATTTAACCCAGCATTGGTAAACAATGTCGTTAACCCTTTTGGAGTTTTCACGTAGTCCTCAATTATAATGGTCACAATCTCTGTCGGGTTCTGACTTAAAAATGTTTCCACTTCCGTCAAAGTGTTAATTGCATGTTGAAATGCAGTGAAGTTGACGATGAGCTGGACGAGCAAGCCAGAGATGGTTTTTTCAGACCGAGTCTTTGGGTGATGTAATCGATGAATGAAATCGGAGTGACAGGATTCATCTTCCATTGGAGAGTAGAGAGCACCACAATCTCCATTCGTTTGATTGTTCTTGCTTCAAACACATACTTGCTATCCTCCACTTGGAAATCCAGCAAAAGGGGAACTTGGGTCTCCTCAACTTTGGCAGCCAGAGGGATACAAGCCATGGCAGCGAGCTGGGTCATCCACGGCTTCTCAACCTGAAGATGGAGGCTCGACAAGAACCTGTCGAAGTAATCCGCCGCGAGCACCGCCGTGAGGGTGGAGAAAGAGTAGTGGGAAGCGACTCTCAGCATCCAGTCCACCGCCTTGGCAAATTCCCACGCAGCTTTCTCCGCCAGCGTTTTCGATAATGGATACCACAATCCCTTCTGCTTGCAGTAGTCAATGTCTGTCCAACAATCCTTGCCCTTGATCTTATCGGACGGCCAGCTTGGGCTGGGAGTGATGGCGGAGATGGATGACATCAGCACCACACGGCTGACCCCAGCCTGCTTCGCCGCCGTCAGAACATTGAGCGTTCCTTTGATCGCCGGGTCCAGGAGCTCCTTCTAGTGATCATGTCCTTGTACCTTACGATCGAATCCAGCCGCTGCATCTTCAGCTGCTTCTTGAACTTGTTGATGAAATCATCCGCCTTGGCGTCCACCTCCTCGTCATCCTCCGCCATCTTCGCCACCTTTCTCTCCCTCACGGTCGCGGGCCAACGAATCTCGACGATATCATCCTCCTGGAAATGAGCAAAAGCAGACTTGGAGCTCGCAGATTTCTTCATCTTCTGCGGGAGCTTGACGGGAACCTCGCCGGACGCCGGCTTGGTGTCCGACTTGGTCCGGTTCACGTGGCAGTCCCATAACGGCTTCAGCTGGCTGAAAATCTCCTCCAGGGCGCTCTGTTTATCCCCTGCTTTTGAAAAATCTGGAGTTTCTGGTTCTGGGTGCTCGTGTTCTTCCAAACTGTCGTCATCTGGGAACTCCTCCTGCTCGGGAGCTTGCTCGAAATGGGATTCCGGCTCATGGGTTTTGTGCGGAGGGGCTGCGTCGGCGATGGGCTGAGATGGGTTGTTGGATAAATCTTGTGGAATGTGGAAATTGATGGACTTGAGCCGCTGCAGCAGAGAAGGGGATCGAGTGATGATTCAGTGTAAGGATGCTGTGATGGGGTTCTTACTTTCCTGGGTAGAATGGGACATCAGGCCACCAATAATTTTAACGGCAAAAACACCTGCCCACTGATAAAAGTCAGCTTAAGAGAGAATAGGGAACTGTTGCTTGATGGGTTTGGGCTCGATGACGAACCTGTTCGTCTGTAGTTTCTTCTGCTGCTGTTGCTGCTCATTTTGTTTTGTTTTGTTTTTGTTTTTTTGTTTTTTTTTTTTTGTTTGTTTGTTTGTTTGTTTGTTTCTTGTTCTGTTTATTATATATATATATATATACTTTTTTTTTTTTTTTTAAAAGAAGAAGAAACTGTAATAATTTTTTTTTTTTAATAAAGAAATTGTAATAAAATTGACTTTCTTTAAAGAAACATTTATTTATTTATTTTGATGTGACTGTACTTGAAGTTTTGAAGTTTCAAGTTGCCTACGTACTCTTCCAAAGAAGAGATCAAGTCATAACGTAGTTCAAATGAGTGATGGTTTTGATGATGATTTTGCCGTACACAGTTTATGCTCTTGCGGGCCAGGAGCGTCTTGGTGCCGTTTGCATTTTCAGCTCATGCAGGCAAGGAGCGTTTGTTGTCGCCTTTTATGCTCGTGCGGGCAAAGAGCTTTGGTTGTCGCCTTTTAGGCTCGTGCGAACGAGGAGCTTTTTGAATTTGTCAAACGATCTTAGAGAAGTATTCCTTGCAATCTTTATAGCAAGGAGTCTTGACTGAGTGATTGAAGAAGTCTTTGGGGAAGAAATAGCGCATCGTGATGGCAACGGACGATCTTTGTGTCATAACTTCATCATCCTCAACACTTTCATGTAGCTTTGAAGGTTGACGGTAGCTGCTTTGCCCCCTTTCCAATTGGTGAACTTGTGGAGGAGACCTATGTTTCTCGTGCATTTTCTTTGGAGTGACATAAGTCCATCCTTCAACTTCACTTGACTTGACTGACATGGTTTTGGAGCATGCCCCCAGCGGTTGAGGTGAAGATTTTGAGTTCAAAGAGCCAGAAGTGACGGTGGTATAGTTTGATTTCACCACATCATTAAGATCTAGCTCGATGATCCCTTTCTGAGCCAACTTCATGATGAGATCTTTTAGCACAAAGCACTTTTCCGTCGGATGACTAATGAAGTGGTGGAATTTACAGTACCTTGGACTGTCAGTACGGTTCATATCTTCTAGCCGTTTGCACTCAGGTAGGTCGATCACCTTTTTGTCAAGCAAGTCTTTCAACATGGCAACCACGTCAGAGTCGGGGAATGGATAAGTCTTCTCCTCAAGCTCCTTCAAAGTGCGTCTACGTATCTCTTGATCACGAAAAGCTTCGGTTTGAATCGCCTTGCTTCGTGTAGGGATTTTGACTGGAGTTGTGTTGACCGTCATTGCTTCCTTGGTGGGTTTCCACGTAGCCTTATCCACCTTTGGCCCCAAAACTTTGTCATTCTTGTAGTCGGCGATCTGTTCTTTCTTCCCATGACGGGTGATGCTTAACTCCATATCATGGGCGCGGGTGGCTAACTCCTCAAATGTTCGTGGTTTGATGCCTTGAAGGATGTAGTGTAGTCCCCACTGCATGCCTTGAACGCACATCTCAATGGCAGAGGTTTCAGAAAGCCGATCTTTGCAATCCAGACTTAAAGAACGCCATCTATTTATGTAGTCGACGACAGGTTTATCTTTCCACTGTTTCGTACTGGTCAGCTCTAGCATGCTTACAGTACGACGAGTGCTGTAGAAACGGTTGAGGAATTCCCTTTCTAGCTGGTCCCAACTGTTGATAGACTCAGGTTCTAGGTCAGTGTACCAGTCAAAAGTGTTACTTTTCAGCAAACGTACGAACTGTTTGACGAGGTAGTCTCCCTCTGTCCCAGCATTGTTGCAAGTTTCAATGAAATGGGCGACATGTTGCTTCGGGTTGCCTTTTCCATCGAACTGCATGAATTTTGGGGGCTGATAACCCCTTGGCATCTTCAAAGCATCAATCTTCTTGGAGTAAGGCTTTGAGTACAGTACGGAGTCATGCGAGCTTTCTTCGTACTGTGTCTTGATAGTGCTTGCGATCATCTCCTCTAACTGCTGGATAGAGAGAGATCCCATGAATGCCGTTGCCTGGTCTAGCTTCGGCTTCTCTTCAACTTTCTCCGCTGGTGGCTCCTCTTCTTCGTCGATTTCTTTCTTTAATAGGCCAACATTTGGGTCGACTTTCACGTCGGGCAGCGCATCTAGTTGGTTGACAAGTGCGGCAATCTGCAAGTCCTTCTCTTCCACAGTCCGTGTGAGCTTTGCGATTGCTTCATTCATTTGAGCTAGCTGCTCCTCGATTGAAGTTGCTCCAGTGGTCAGGACCTGCATGGTTGTACTGCCGCTCGAATCAGCGTCGGAGAGTAGGGACTCTGAGTATTTCCTCAGGCTCTCCCCTTTTGATGCCTTTAGCGAGGCTAGGGTGATCACAGGCTCGTGCCTCAGGTGCTCTTGTTCCTTTGACAGAGTTAATGCAGGGGCGGAAGCCGTGGCAAAAAAATCTCTTGCCTTACTTCGGGTTATGATGCCCGAAATATCACCACTTACGGCGATGATGTTCTTGTTCTTTGCTTTGATTGCAGGAACAGCTTGATCCTTTCTTGATGCCATTTGCGTTTTTCGATGATTTGAGGATAGAGATGAGAGGTAGAGATTGTCCCACCGGGCGTGCCAAATTTGTAAACACGAAAAATTCCTGAAACAAGAGACAAGAATACGTGTACAAAATATATATTTTGTATTAATGATTTTGGGGTTACAATCTCTTTGTAATTTGATCCTCTGATTCTATCTTCGTAGGATGTTGGTTTGTGGATGAGTTGTTGATCCAAAGGGCCGTCGGGGCTTGATCTAAGGATGAACAGTTGATGAATGGATCTTCAAGGGGCGTCGGGCTTGATTTTGAAGAATGGGTGTATGAGTTTGTTGAGGTTGTTGATCCAAAGGGCCGTTGGGGCTTGATCTTAGGATGAACGGATGATGAATGATGAACACTTTCTTCAAGGGGCCGTCGGGGCTTGATCTTGAGTTGGTGGAAGTTCTTCAAGGGCCGTTGGGGCTTGATCTTGAAGGTTGATGGATGAGCGGATCTTCAAGGGCTTTTGGGCTTAATCTTGAAGAACGATTGGATGTGTGGATTTGTTGAGGTTGTTGATCCAAAGGGCCGTTGGGGCTTGATCTTAGGATGAACGGATGATGAACGATGAACACTTTCCTCAAGGGCCGTCGGGGCTTGATCTTGAGTTGGTGGAAGTTCTTCAAGGGCCGTTGGGGCTTGATCTTGAAGGAGGATTTGACGAAGAACGAATAGTGCTTTCTTGATCCTTCGGGATTTGCTTGAGAGCTTTAGAGTTTCAAGGCTTGAAGGTTTTGGTGTAATGTAAATTCCTCCTCCTTTCTTCCTCCTTTCTTTTTTGGAAATGAATGCCTTGGCTTCCTATTTATAGAATTCCAAAACTTGATTTTTGGATTTAAATAATCAGATGAAATAAATCATTTCTGCCAGGTATTGACACGTGTCCTATTTGATGACCTTTCCAATTTATTTCGATTTTTTGTTGAATCACATGCTACATGTAACATTTATGTGACACGTGAGCGTTGAAATTTTAATTATTGGTCAACATTCATTTCGCCGAAATTTTGATGTCTACACATTCATCGTGGGCGCGTGAGGCTCTTGACCTTGATCTAAGGTGTTAATTGTTTTGCAAATGCATTTTTGTCCAAGAAGAAGAAAGCGGAATTTTGCATCCATAAATTGGTGCTTTCATTAAGAGTCTTGATTCACACGCTTGAAGAAGACTCGTGCATTTGAAGTTTCTCATTTCTTGTTCATTTGTAGATTTTTCGTTCGTTCTTATTTCTAGAATTTTTTATAAAATTCTTCGAATAAATGTAAAAGAAAAGTACAATGACTAGAAATTCGGAAACCACGATGAACGGAACTTTCTACGTTCAAGGATTTGGACTAAATGATGGAGATCATGACGTAGCCCTACCACCATGATCTACGAGGCTTAACGCGACAGCTAGTGGAGCGGCAGCGACCCTCGGCGAGCCCACTACCCATGGTGAGTAGGCTAGCTCATTATAGTAGGCCTAAGCCTGTGCCACAAGGCAACCACCCCAGATTCAACGGGCCCAAGCAACTGCAGCAATTGAAGCAGCCTAAACCTTGTGAGCCCAAGGCCAGCTCAAGCCCAGGGCACTCCAAATCTAAGCCGCGTCACTCCAGTCCACAAGGGCCTAAGCCCAAGGCAAGCCGACCCGAGCCACAACCCACCGTAAGCCCAGCACGCTCCCGAGCTGAGCCCAGGCCCAACGCCCATGCGCATCGCACGGGGCAGCCCACATATTTAGCATAGCCTACACTAGCAGCTTAACCCGCTCCAACGATCTGACTTGCTCCTATAACCTAATTCTAGATCCAGCCCATTCTCGTGGCACTCAAAGCAATCCAAGACCGGTTTAACCGTTCTAACTTCATATTTATGGATCGATGATTAAACCAGGGGTATTTTCACCCTATTTCTCCACAGCTTTGATGTATCCCAACTCAAATCTTTCGCCCGGATCTACTACACTTCCACTACTCAAGGAGATGCATATCCTCCAAGCTCTTCCAACCCAAATAAAGAACAACACTTGTCTCGACAAGTTATAGAGTTGACAAGCACCCTCGCACAACAGACAACCTTGGTGAATTAGCCATTACAGCAGACCAAAATGCAATGTGCTCTAGACGAGGTGTCTCGAACTAGGACAAGAGTAGACAACGAACCTCTCCAATACATCCCGGCAAGGAGCCCCTCAACCAACCACAAATTGAGCGTTCGAGCAATGTACATTCCCGACTAGGCCCCCGAGATAGCGTATACTTTCGTCTTAGCGCGTGAAGGAGCATACACTCTTGGCTAAGTCCACGAACGAGCAGACATTCACTGTTAGGGC